CTGACACAATTAGGAAATGTCCTGTTTTACTTTCCTGTATTCAAGTTTCATATATAAATCTCTTTATAAATGTTCATGGATCAGAAGAATTCTTCTAGTTGCGACTGAACTGCTATTTCTGAAATTCTCTAATGTCTCGCTGTTCGGTCATGGGGCGTTGAGACCAGTTTGAGGATTGGTCACAAATAGCAGCACCGTTTTAAAGACTGAGGAATATCATTTGCCAGAATATTGACTTCCCCCATCCCCAAAATTTCGCTAGAATAGCAGGACAATTCCGTCTTTGCCAGTCTCGGAATGCCAGTGGTAGTGGTGAAGGACAGAGTAGCGGGTTAATTTAGCACTTTAACAAATAATTCCTATAAAAATGTGGAAACATTTTCAAAAATTAGTAGAAAGTCTTAGGGAGGAGCCAGAGAGACGTAGTTAAAGCTAATTTTTCATATTCTGATCTTTTGATTTTTACTTATTTATACTTATTTAATTTATGCTTATCTATTTTGCTTGTTTACTATTTATAAATTAGTTTGATTTCCAGATTTTCTAGTTGTCTTTAAACAACTGTTTATGGAAGGATGCTATAATACATGCTTTTTTGTTTTATTACTTGCATTAGCTAATGATGTAACGGGATTGAGAGAGTCTGAAGAGAAGTTGAAACAGCAACAGCAAGAGTCTGCCCGAAGAGAAAATATTCTGGTGATGAGGCTGGCAACTAAAGAACAGGAGATGCAAGAGTGTACTGTAAGTATTTAGAGAGGATGAGTGTTCAGACTGTTGCAGAAAAATGCTTGCTTTAGACTGAGCATGTACCCATATACTATTTATTTCATAAACTGTTTATAGCATCCCATTGTCTGTGTCTAAAGAAATGACCAGGACACTAAAGTTTAAATATTTCACTGAGTTAGTAAAGATCGTTTTTCTAATTTTGCTTTTTTAATACTGCTTGTTTTAGCTTATTTTTCAGCAGCAACTGTGCTTGGAAGGACTTTAGCTCCAGAACCATTGCATGGGTTTGCAGCAGTAGCTAACTCTTGCATTAGCCATGCTTACTTTCTTATGGCATTTCTCAGCTGTACATATTTACAAAAAATGTTACTTCTAGCTATCAGTGGGCACAGGAGTAAATTTAACTGAAGCCTAAGGATAAGACTGAGCTTTTTTTTTTTTTTATTTAGGTGCTTAAAGGTAGGTGTTTATGCTGGATATGGGTAAACGGGTTTTGCAGGTCTCCACGTTCATTGAGTTAGGTAGCAAAGTGTAACTGTAGAGGGAAAATGCTACTGACTTTTCAGAGGGAGTCCTTTTGAAGTTTAGCAGATCTGCTACTCGGGGTTTCTAATGTTCTTTGGATGCTTTATTCTTCCTGTTTCCTTCCTTAATTTTTATGGATTTTCTGTGTCTTCCTTTTTTTGTGTGTTTAGTTTTGGTTTCTTGAAACTGTCTTTTGCCAGTTTGCACTTTTCTGTCTATTTTTGGATCACGCTATTCTAATGTCATTTGACCTGCTTCTTTAACTGGCAGGTCAGAGAGAAGACTGTAAAATGCTGCTTGATGCTAATTTGTGTAAACTACTCCTAAGAGCTGTTCTTAAAAATATAAGTTCTGTGCAAAGCTAATCACTAGCGTTGTAGCATTCCTTCTGTTGTTTTGCTCTATTAGCCTCCTTTTTTTTCCTGTAAGTTTGCAGAGCTGTTAGATATAGCGGTGTAGGACTTGACTCTTAAGAGCAATGAAAGCAATGAGTTAAAATCATAATGTGACATTAGTCTGTAGCAAATATTGGTATGAAAAAAAAATGAGAGGATAAAACTTGTTTTGCAGTGATAAAGAATGAATCACAGAACTGCTGCGGTTGGAAGGTACTTCTGGAGATCATCCAGTCCAACCTCCCTACTCGAGGCAGGGTTGGTCAGAGCAGGTTGCTCAGGGCCATGTCCAGTCAGATTTTGAATATTTCCGAGGTTGGAGACTCCACAGCCTCTCTTGGCAACCTCTTGCAGCATTAGATCGCTCTTGCAGTAAAAAAGCGTCGTCTTATGTTTAAATGGAATTTTATTTTTGAATTTGTGCCCACTGCCTCTTATCCTTTCATTGGGTACCACTGAGAAGAGTGGCTCTGCTCTCTTCCCTTCACCTCCTCAGAAATCAGGTGTTTGTACACATTGATCAGATCCACCTGAGCCTTCTCTTCTTCAGGCTGAACAGCCACAGCTCCTTCAGCCTCCCCTATATGACAGATGTTCCAGGCCCTTAATCATCCCTGTGACCCTGCACTGGACTTGCTCCAGTATGTCCATGTCTCCTGTACTGGGAAGCCCAGCACTAGACCCAGCACTCCAGCTGTGACCTCACCAGGGCTGAATAGGGGGGAAGGATCACCTCCCTCAACCTGCTGGCAACGTCCTTCCTAATGCAGCCCAGGAAGCATTCTGAGCCCATGAAGATCTGTATTGGTACTATACTAGAGCGCTTCTCTAGTAGCAGCAGTACTATATTGCTCTTGTTTCTTCTACTGATAAGACCTACTGTGAGGAACAGCAGTAATAAGGATTGTTTTTTCTCTTGAACTTTTGAGCATAGACCTGAAATGATAGATATTTAAAAAATCAAATGAAATGTAGGGATTTTTCACCAAGTACAAATTTGTTTACATTTTTCACCTGTCTTTCCCCATATTTCTAAAAGAATGACATAGACAAAAACTTCAGATGTTTGACTATGAATTCTGACAAAATCTTGATGACTGTATAGCATTTTTGTTTACAGTTTGTTTACAGCTGTGATGCATAGGCCTTTTTGAACATCCTCTTTGAAAAAAACTTCTAGGAGTTTGTTTTAATTTCACATTATGTTTAAAAAAAAAACTCTCTCTCTCTCTCTAAGCTAGCTCAGGTTTTCCAAGTTGTTGACACACTCAAAATATTTTATCTCTTTCATAAAAGTAGAAAGATACATCTTGGAAGAAGAGAAAAAAACTATTATGAAGATAATATTGGCACGTTAATGTTTTCAGGCTGAACGTGGATAGTTTGAAGAAGTTCTGGAGGAACAGTTGGCAGAGTTTGTTTTGTATTCTTAAATGATATTTTTTCAGTGAGGTAACAGTAACAAAATAAATCATGTTGGGAGAGATGCAAAACTAAACTATAGGTTGCTCAGTCATTTGGTAAATGAACAAAAAGTATTCACTATATCCTAATGTATTTGAGATGTCTAATTTTTAGAGTCCACAAAATAACTTTCCTTAAACTCTTTAGTGTAAAGTTAGCCATGTTTTATAATTCATATTTAAACGTTGTAAAATATATAAATGATAGTGTCACTGGTATATAAGCCTTTAGTGTTGACTATCACAGCTTAATTTGAAAGACAGAACATCTAGAGTGTCAAGTTTCCTAAAACTACTGGTAATTAACCATTTGATACTGATTGTTCATAATATTGTCAATGTATTGTCAGGACATGCTTAATACTTAGAAACCTACCACACTCAACTCTTACAAATTTAAATGGATAAAAAACTAAAAAAGACTCACCAAACTGAAATGTAGTAGTTGAAGGACACAGGTGATTTTTCTAATTTCCAATATATAAAACATTTTACTAGTTTAAAAAAATACTAGTTCTATTTTAAAATAGGATGTGATAGGCTTTGTCTTAGTTGCCATTTTCATTTGTACATCTTCTTGAAAAAGGTAAAAAACAAAACAAAACCGCACTTAGCTTATAAAAGTCACCAGTTCAGTTATTCCTGAAACTTAGTAGTTATATATGTTAATGTAGCAGTCATTGTCCTGATACTCTTGTGAAAACAAGACGGTGGTTTAATACATAGTTATGTTATTGGGCTCTATGCTGATTCTAGCAGCAGAATGGATTTTGGAGCGGGGTGGGGAATAGAAGCTTATTGATAGTCTGACTGGTATTGCAGACTTATTTTGCATAGTTTAGGGTGGCTAGCTAAAGGGCTAGATGGGAGTTTACGGGTTTAATACCTCATCTGCCCCAGTGTCAGCAAAAGCCTTTATAGTATCTTTCCCCTGGCAGGAACACTCCTGCACCCCCCAGAAGAGACTCTTTTTGTAAAGAAGGTGAAGGTGAGGTAGTGGCTACTGTTCCTACACGGAGGTTTATTTCTGTCAGAGAAGGTACTGAAGGAGTGATTGCTACTGCAGGGGAAGGCCTCAATGCCACTGCAAGGCTGCTGTTGGTCTGTAAGCAGACAGGCAGTTGGGGAAAAGCTATCTGAGAGGCAAATATTTCCATCTCCTCCATGGAAAAGACGAATGGAAGCTTTCTGTGGCTGCAGATGAACCACAGTGCCTAGTTAGTCATTGGTCTTAACCTACTTATGGTTTGAGTTACTGTTTTGTTGTGCTTTTTTTTTTTCTCCTCATCATTATCCTGTTTCTTCCCTTCTATTCCTTCCTTAAAGGGAGCATTTATAATTGTGCTTATTTAGATTGTTGGCATTTCCTATTAAGATCTTGATTTCTGTTTAATTATTTTTTATGTCAGAGGGTGTGTTCTGTGGGGATGTCTTTAGACATCTTCAACTAAAAGGATTCAGCTGTTTCCAAGAAAATGTGAGAAGTGGAGTTGAAACATTTCTGTCTTAACAAAGAAACACCATCCAAACAAACAGAAACCTACACAGCAAAATACCAGCTAGTGTGTGCTTTCATGTTTGAGAATATGAACAACAATAGTTATTTTAGGTGTTAGGTGAAGGCATGTCAAAATCTGGCATTAGACATCTTTTTTTCTGTATTTCCAGTTCTAGTTTGAGGTGCAGCTGTTGGACCTGAAGGCAGGTGAACTCTTTTGCTCCTTACCCCTTGGAATACAGAGGGGAGGAGAGAGACAGCAGTCTAAAAATAGGTTGGGAACCGTATTGCTGTAGCATAGTTCTGTTCCTGGAATAAGTTACCAACTGGAGTGTCTACATGTCTGCAGACATCTGTTAAACTAGCTCTTTTACCCTCTACTAGTGCTGGTCCTCATAAAGAATGCCACGTTGTTGAAATAATCCCGTTAGTCCAAGCATCAGAAAGTTGAGTGTTCCTTTTATATTTCTTTCTAGATATTTAAAACTACTTCAAAAATATTTATATGTAAATAGACAAAGTATGAAGGTTGTTTCAAAAACTTTTTGCAAGTAGTTAATTTTTTTATTTTTATATCAAATTAATGTGAAGTTAATTTGAAATATTTCAGCTCTTTCGATGACTTTGAAATCACATACTTGAAATAAAATCCAAGAATTGGTGCTACTTAATATGTAAATTATATCTTCCTAAATTGAGAAGTGACTTGACTTGGGAGTCACCACTGCTCATCTTTAAGATAAAATGTTTATACTTATACTTTCTCTTCACTGTTGCTGTGTGAAAGACTCCACAAACAGAATAAATTGACCATACAGGAAAGTGATTGAACTGGACTGTACCTTTGACTGTGAAGGTCAACTTGTCCTAAGCAAGCTGTACGTGTGTTGGGGGGAGACTCTTGCTCTGTCCCTCAGTCCTGCTGGTAATGTCTTATACTGTTTATCAGTGAAACTAAATGCAAGGGTCTGTTGCTCTCCATCGAGTTGCAAGAATGTATGTAGCAGCAGGCAAAACCCCTGATTTTTTATTAATATTTCTTTTTAATGTAATGTTATGTTTACCTCTCTTTACCTGAGAAATGTGATGTATGTACAGGGAGTGTAATAAACTGAACTTTAGAATGAACGTTTTCCATGTAGGCCAATGTGATTTTAGTGATTGACTGGATTCTAATCATTTGCTATTTAGTAGCCTGTTCTATGATTGCGTGCTGTGATGGAATTAAAATTGAAGCAACGGGGGCGGAGGGGATTCTGCTTAAATACATCGACGTTTTGACTAACAAATGCTATATTTAAAAGAAACAGTCTCGGTTATTCCTTGTGAAATATTGATGACTAATTGTAAGTCTTTTGGGTTGTGCTTATTTCAAGAGAATCTAAATCCAAACAAAATCTGTTTAATTTATGTTGATATTTCTTAATTTTCTGAATGATTTTGGTTTAAAGGAGGGGCAAACTCACACTATAAGTGATTATAAGCCAAACAGGTTTTTTGGCAAAGGCTAAATAAATCTTAGTAGTTGCTTTTAAAAATTGCTTGGACCATTAATGTTGATAACTTTCATTGAAGTTGCGTGGAAATTAGCATTCTATTTTAAGCAGACAAGTCTTTGTATGTACAGATTTTTTTCGAAAGAATTTAGGCAGTGTACATTATAATGCTCCCTTTCTTTTACCAGTCATTTCTTTTGCAAATGTAAACTGACATCTAGAAGATTAAATTTGAAGCAAAAAATTAAAAAAAAAAAAAAAAAAAGCAGCCTTGAAAGTTTAAGCTGGCGTGGGGAGAGATTTGGGGAGTATGCATATTAATAGGGAGGGGGAGTGGTTCTTTATCTTCATGTTAAAATATTGGAGGGCAAAGCAAGCTTTATTAATATTAATCTTTGGAATAACTATTTTTTAATTATGGAATTTCATAGATTATAGAATTGTATTTAGTGATGCATAAATAACATTTTTTTTGTTTTATGCAGAATCAGATTCAGTACCTCAAGCAAGTCCAGCAGCCTAGTGTTGCCCAACTGAGATCAACAATGGTGGACCCAGCCATCAACTTGTTTTTCCTAAAAATGAAAGGTGAACTGGAACAGACTAAAGACAAACTGGAACAAGCCCAAAATGAACTGAGTGCCTGGAAATTTACGCCTGATAGGTAAACAAAACAAATACTCCCCAGTCAAGACTTCCCTGACAGTCCCACTACGAGAATGCTATGGTGGGACAGCCAAGTACTCGTTTCCACACCAAGACTCAGACGTTTTGAGCCAAAAGCCACATTCTTATACTGTCCAGCTTGTAATGCTTAATGTAAAACTTACCAGATGAACCTTGTGTTTCAGCTTTTTTCTCCCCCTTTGCTTCAGAGGCCTGACGGCGTCGGACTATTCTGAAGAAATGGCCATCTCCGAAAAAAAATCCTTTCTAGAACGTGTAGACATTTGCAAAATTGTTCTATTTGAAGAAAATAGAGGGAAAAACAGAAGTCTTAAGTCTGTGGCACACTGTGTCTACAGACAGTTTGGAGGAGAGAGAACCTAGAGATTATAAATCATGAATTGAACATGTAAAATTCCCGTAAAATGTAGAAGTGGAATATGCTTCGCTCTTAACCTTGAGCCTAGTGACTTAGAGACACTGTAAGTCAGTTTTGCCAATAAGACTGTGGACTTCCTGCTTGTTCACTGAACTGCTGGGTCAAAACTCAATGAGATGAATTTTGCATTAAAGAGTTTATTTGCTAACCAGTTCTGAATAGCCACGAGTGCTATTTCATATCACGTCAGTGCTAGTGTACACATTTGACTGTTTAGCATTTGGGCTCTGTAACACTTGGCGGAGCCTTAAGTCAATGTTGCTAAATCATGAACTGTTCTCTGGATGGTTGGAAATACTGTGGGCGCCTCAAAATTAGGACTGTACAAAAATGTACGTTCTATCTAATTGCAGGTGTAAAATTGTTGCAAGCGACATATATTTGATCACAACTAGCATGTATAAGTGAAACTAGTTGTGTTAAGTATTTCACTGCATGTTTTCATGCAGCAATGAGAATTTTTCAGTCTTCTGAGAACTGATCTCAAATGCTCACTACAGAAGGCACACACAATGGCAACTGTCTTCAGTGTTGATGGGATATTTTTATTCCTTTGTACACCTGTTTTTTTTTTTTTGTATTGCACTTCTATATAAAATGTGCCTTGAAATAGTTGTAATATAGTTCAAGGAACACTACTGCTTATGCTGTTGTATTGTGAAACTCCTGGGATGAACGAGAATTGAACAGATTGTTATTTCTGAATTGTCTCGTTCTCTGAAAAAAGGGAAGACAATATTCTAACAAACCAAAAACCTTAAATGCATGCATTTTCCTGGGTTGAATCAGTGAAAGGAGCCATTGCTATTCTGTTGATGCCTCTGTTCTGTTGTCCCAAGTTGCTTGCAAGAATAGCAGTCTGGGACAGCTGGGAGTGCATGTCTGAGGTGTGTAAAGTGAAATGCAGACTTGATAAAGCATTTGTGTATTTTTTATTTTTATTTTACTTTTTTAGCAAATTGAGTTCTATCTAGAAAACTACAGTTTTGATTTCCAAAGCAGTTGTCAATATTTCATGACTGTAGAAGATTCAGTTTTAAATTTTAAAAAAGAGGTCCAGCTTTCATGGAAGGTGATGAACTCAACCTGTTTCATTGGTAAAATGATGATCTTTATTAAGATAGCATTACATATTTTTCAACTCAGAAGTATCTTAACTGTTTGTGCTTTAGATGATTAATATGGAAAGGAAGAGTAGTGTTCTTATGCAGCCTTATTTTTTGCATGAGTAATGGCTTACAGCAAAAGAAAAACCTTCAGAGAAACTTTATTTTTAAAAAAGGGATAACATCTGGAATGATTTTGCTGTAGCAGTATCTAAGGTTTTAATGATCTAGCATCAAAACAGAGGTAAGACTTGCATTAATAAATTGTTAACGTGTTATCAAGCTGTTTGTAAAATTTACTATGATGTGCGAACAGAGGCAGCTGTTGGGGTTGTTGATCTGACATGCCATGCAGATTGCTTGTTTAACTTGGAATTCAAAAAATGACTTAATACGTTTAGATACTGGTTGTTTGTTTGTTTATTTATTTAAGAAGTCCTCAGGCTCTAAAGTTACATGTACAACTGAGGAGAGACAAGTAGCCATTACCACCTTCTTTCAAGCAAAAGTATCAAAGAAAATTTTGTCACTTTTGTAGCTACAACTTTCCTTGATACTTGTCATATAATTGAGTCCAACTGTGGTGAATGTACGTAATACATATGTGCAATAGCTGGAATGCAGAAAACTAGATTTATTTCCTGGTAAATAGAGGCTGTCTTCAAAACTGGGTTATAATTTGATTGATTTTTATTTCTGGAGAGGTGAAGAAATGATGACTCACATGTAAAGGATCTACAGGATTTTTCATCTCTCCTTTCCTGCCCTCATCACCCCGCCCCCAATATTTGTCCTTCCTCATATGCAGCTACTCTTATTTCAAGGCACCTGACCTAGTTTTTGAAAGAGCTAATGCTCCTATTCAAATCTCTAACTGGTGTTCAGAGGTAACATGTTGACTGCAACCCTAAGCAGTATCAGTTCTGGACCTTAACCATAGATAAGGGTGTACAGCATAATCATTGCTGATGTCTGGAGCAGAAAATAAAAGGGCGTATAATCAAAGGAATGGCTCTGCTAAGCCATTTTAACCATCATTGAACATACAGTATGCACTTGAATTAAAAAGATAGAAGAAACAATTTGCAGAGAGCTTACTATAAAAAAAGTAGTCTTTTGAAATTTAACCACTTATATTCCTACAGGTTTTGTTGCATGTGTATCAAGTGGATTTGTGAAAACTTTGCCAAATTTAGCTTTACAGCTAATAGGAGTTATTTTAATAGTTGCTGAATTTGTCACTTGTGCATGTGATGTCTTTTACATAAATTGCAAGGGGAGGTTGCTTGGTGCTGCACTAGTTCAGAACATCTGGAAATCTTGATGGGAAGAAATAGCATTATAGGTAACTATGCAAATTTCTATACAGGTAATAAATATTTTACATTTTGGCAGGAGTTAACATGAAGAAATTAATGGGATTCTAAAATTGTCCCAATTTTAAGGTAACTAGTACTTGCTACTACAGTTTGACGTTGTTTTGTGAAGAGAAAAACGTTAAATGACGTAAGCATTGTGAACTTCTTTAACTTGTAGTGATGATGAATACAGTAACAGGAATCTGCAAGTGACTAAAAATCATTGCATGTCTGCCTAAAAGCTTTTGGGATATGCCACACTGCTTATTTCCAAAATGGTCCTACTTTACAAAGAATGAACATCTTAAGGAAACGTTTATCTTAAATGTATTACTTGGATTGTATTAGGTCAGCACAATTTAAACGTCAAGGACCTGGCATTGGACATCACATCGAGAAAGAGAACAGTTTGCTGCCTTTAGCAGAGTTGCAGGCTTCCAGGACTTTACACAGCCAAATTTCTTCTGGAGCAGCCCATCTGAAAGATTTTGGGAGAGTCAGTCGGAAAATGTTAAATGGGGCAGAGCTGGCAGAACTTAAAAACTGTCTGAGGCTTGAATGCTTAAAAGGGGGCTGATTAGGAAATGTTTATATTAAATTCTTACTTCTCGGTATTTTGGTTGCAGGAGAGAACCGTGGCTCTGAATCATAGTAGCAGAAATTCCTGTTATACTCCTTTAATCTTCAAAATCTCTTTTCGTCTTTGTCAATTGTTTAAAACAACTTTAAGCTGACCTCCTTGGTCTTGTAAAGAAACACAAGTCCTGCCAATGAATTCACAATAAACCTGCTCAAGTCTTTTTTTTTTTTTTTTTTCCTTCCCTTAACAGAGCTTACACTTCCATAGAAAAGAGGACAGCTTTATTATGTTGCTGAGCCTCATAAAAAGAGAACTATTTGTGGTTGCTGTCCTGACTTCAGCAGACCAAGGATCTTAGAGGACTTTAGCTCTTACTTTTTTGGAGTCAGCTGTATTGCCTATATATTAATTTGCATACTACTTCCTATAATGCTTTTACAATGCAGTTTTTATCATGAAGATTAAAGATGTGTGATTAAAGAGAATATATCTTGTCAATTCAAAATACCTTTTCTATCTGATGTTTCCCACTTATTTCAGAAATTGGACATCCTAAAGCATTGCTCTTGATCTGAAATGTGGCCATTCTAAATGAATAGTAATGTACTTAACTTTTCTTGCCAATTTTTAGTTGCATTGTACTTTCTCCTCACTATGCAAGATGTGCACAGGAAAAGCTGACTGAAGGAATCATGAAATGGACTGTGTACGCTACTGTAAAATATATAAATTGAGAAACAGACACTTAAATTTTTAAACAAAAGTACTCAGATAACATCCAAATGACCATCTAAGCCTCTCAAAGAAAAATGGATGTCGCTGTAAAAACGAGCATGGGATTTTCATGTTTTCCCCAAACCAACTTTCTTCTCTTCACCTATATGTAATTACTAAATTATACAAGTACAATAAAGGAAGAAGCTTTTTGTTTGTGTATGATTCAGTTTACACATTTTTATGCTGTCCTTGATCTTTTGAATTACAAGGCACATCTTTAATCAAATATTTAACTCCATTGAGAACCAGCACATGCAAGGTTGTGCATACTGCTAATCCAGATGTTAGTGTTAAAAAAGAACAATATGCTCATTCATATTTACAGTAATAAACTTGCCTTCCACTTTATGGGACAGCGAGAGAAGATCAACAGACATTGGAACAGCCTGTGGTAACTATAGGGAGACTTTCTGCTATGACAATTATGTTGAGGCATAATGTTCCTTGAATTGTGACATGCAGAAATTGCATCTCCTTTTTGTCTATGATTGTGATTGAGGAAGATTACTGAAGGTTTTATATTCATTTTGTGATAGATGGCTCTTTCCTTTGCAGCCAAACAGGCAAAAAGTTAATGGCGAAGTGTCGAATGCTTATCCAGGAGAATCAAGAGCTTGGAAGGCAGCTGTCCCAAGGACGCATTGCACAGCTTGAGGCAGAGTTGGCTTTACAGAAGAAATATAGTGAGGAACTTAAAAGCAGTCAGGATGGTAAGGGATTTTTTTAAGAAAATGGAAGTTGCCTTGCACTACTGCTGGCTTAATTTACTGATGATGCAGATACTGTAAATTCTCCTCTGCTAGAATGAAAGGGCGCTGTCAAGTAAAACATGACAATTTTAAGTCTTCACTGGTTACCTTAATTGCAAAATCAAAAAACGAACCTAACCTTTGGGAATTGGTGGGATTTGCAGCTCCAACAATGGGGGGGGGGGTTGAATTTGAAATTGCCAGGCTTTTTTATTTTAGGACTTGTTATTTAATAGGGAATGTTTAGACTGCACACATTATTGGTGAATTGATAAGATCAAAGCTGTTAAAGCTGTTAACGTTGCACGAACCGAAGCGTGCACTGAAAACAATGTTTCTTTGTCATCTGTGACTCATTTTGAGTTTATTTGGGGGGGGTGGTCTTAGCAATGTCTAATTCAACAAAAATGCACTTTTTGCTTAAATAGCTCAGCTGGCAGAAAATGTTCCATTATTGTATTCACAGTCCACATTGTGCAGCATTGTGAACCTGAATTGGAGGTACCTGTAAATTCTGACCTCTTGCATAATTTAAATGGAGGAGAAAATTTTTTTTAATTTCCAGATTTTCAGTTGAGAGTTCAGGATAGATAGTTCTTCTTAATCTCTGATTAAAATTTGGCTTTTTGGTACTGTTACACAATAGGTTAACCGCTTATTACAATAAATCTTGGGACATGAGCTCGTTATTGCTTAAACCTGAATATATTTTTGCTTTACAACTGAAAACCGTAGGACAGCACAAATGTGTTTTGGCACTGCTTAAGTCTGATATATCCTATATTTTGAAGGATAGACTTTTTTTGCTGTAGAATCATCTTTTGTGAGAAAGTACAGTATAAAGTGATATATAATAAGAGTTCTTAAATGGTTTTCTGTAATTGCATTAACCATGGTTATTTTGTTGAATAGTTAAGTTTGTTTCCTAACTACTGTTTACATAATGCACTTCATCTAAATTAATCAAGTTTTAATTGAAGCAAGTGTGGACTTTCTTTGAGGATATCTGCTCCAGAACGCAGTATAGTGCAGTAAGCTGCAGAACAGTGTGAGATGTGTTCTTAGTCCTGATTGTTTCTTCCCTTCTGAAACAAATGTAGTAGAGCAAAGTTGTGAACAGACAAACCGTAACAATACTACAGTACCACTCTTGCTTTCCCAATGAATATTTTTTCTGTAGCTGCAAGAACACTTTTTAAGCTAATATTATAAATTCTTAGTAAGCGGTTTGCATTTTATTTGCTCTCTCAGGTTAATGTGCAGTTGAGGACTTTGGTTCAGTGTTTCTTTTGCTGTTTCGTGTTTGTTCTGCTCCAAAATGCAGTCCCCATTGAAAAGTCTTTTCTGTGTACATAAGCAGCGCTAAAACCTCTGTGGAATTAGTAAACAACTTTGCTGATAAAGTCAGCAAAAATCTACCTTTTCTTTTAGCGTCCTGTTAGCCAGGATTAAAAGCAGTAAGAATTGAAGCTTTCTTGAAATGTGACTGATGCCTTTTTCTCACTGAATAGGTTTTTGTATTCAGACCTACTACATACGGCCCTGTGGTTCATGGTTGCTTTTTTAGTGTTTCTGCTAAGATTTTTGCACTCAAAAGTGCGATCTGTTTGCACGTAGTCATTGTTTGAATTGAGCTCTCTTCCAAATATCCTCCTTTCTTGCCCAGAAATGAATTTCTTCTCATTTAGTGTTTTCCTGTAGTCTTCTCTTGTACTCTGAATAGCATTATAACAAGTATGTAGATGATAGTTTAGAATTTTCTCCTTCAGAGGCAGAATATCAAAGATGGTGCAGATCTGATGACTGAAAAAATGGGTCTATTGGAAAAATTTCAGCATGAAATGTTGTTACTGGATTTTAATTGTCTTGCCTGAGACTCTATATATGGGCTATTAAGTATTTGCAACAAATGTGTTTTCTTTATATAGAATTGAAT